GGTCAGCTACTGTGGCAAACGCGGACAGGTCGGGGAAGAGATAGGGCAGTGAGAGACGGCCTATAGCAGCAGTGGCAGGGGAGGAGTAGCGTGCGACTACTGCGTCGTACAGTTCCTTAGCGGTCTTATGCTGGCCGAAGTGCTCGCGCTCATCTAACGGCAGGTGGCTGCGAACGGCTAGGCGAGCGTGAGCATCACGGGTCTGCCACTGGGAGCGAGCAGTGCTCTCAGCAGTAGTGGGAGGTGCGGGGGCAGCGCCAGACGTGTGATCATAGAGGGAAATATCATCCTTGGCAGTGATCTGAAGGAACAGGTGGAGGTCATCTAACCACACCTCAAACTTAATCGGGCGGCCCTCAGCGTCAAAGGTGAGAACAGAGGGAGTGGCCATAGTGGCAGTAGCAGCAGCACGAACAGTAGCAGTAATACAGTAGGAACAGGTACATGAGTTAATGCAGGTGGGGCACAGTAAGGTGGCGCGGCTCGGCCAGGGCGGCGCGGCTCGGTTCGGGCGGCGCGGCTCGGTTCGGGCGGCGCGGCTCGGTTCGGGCGGCTCGGCTCGGGCTGGGCTACGCAGCAGTGCGCAACGGGGGGGCCGGCGCATGGGCGGCTGTAGCGGGCGGGCCGTGGTTGTGCGCGGGCCTGACTAGCGCGCGGGCGACGACCTAAAGGGGGGGCGTTGCGGCGGCCTACGGGAGGGGCTGCGCCGTCCTGGGCGGCGGTCGACGGGCGGCTAGGGTCGCGCGTCGGCCTAGGGGCCTAGGGGCGAGCGGGGCCTACGGGCGACGGCCTGCTGGGGCTTGCGAGAAAAGAAAAAAAAATCGGGCCGCCCTAGGCGGCGGATTTCCTACACGCGCACGAAACCGGCGGGGCCGCGCTCGGGCTGCTAGCGGGCTGCACACGGGCAGTGTGAGAGGAGGGCGCACGAGGGCGCACTAGGGGAGAAGGCGCACGAGGGCGCTAAAAAAAAAAAGGGGCGCACGAGGGCACCTCTAGCGGAAGGGGCGCATGGGCGGCTGTAGCGGGCGGGCCGTGGTTGTGCGCGGGCCTGACTAGCGCGCGGGCGACGACCTAAAGGGGGGGCGTTGCGGCGGCCTACGGGAGGGGCTGCGCCGTCCTGGGCGGCGGTCGACGGGCGGCTAGGGTCGCGCGTCGGCCTAGGGGCCTAGGGGCGAGCGGGGCCTACGGGCGACGGCCTGCTGGGGCTTGCGAGAAAAGAAAAAAAAATCGGGCCGCCCTAGGCGGCGGATTTCCTACACGCGCACGAAACCGGCGGGGCCGCGCTCGGGCTGCTAGCGGGCTGCACACGGGCAGTGTGAGAGGAGGGCGCACGAGGGCGCACTAGGGGAGAAGGCGCACGAGGGCGCTAAAAAAAAAAAGGGGCGCACGAGGGCACCTCTAGCGGAACGGTGGGCCCATAGGTCTGGAACCTAAGCTCTTAATACCATGTCAGAAACAAGAAGTGATTGAACTATGAAAGATTGGAGTACAAGTATGAAACCCTAGAGTTGTGTACCCCCTAAAGGCTAACCCACTATAGCCTACACAACAATAACATATAGATAATGTTTGACATTCTGGACTGAAGTCGGGGTCAAGATCCGGTGGATGTGTCCAAGAGGTGAAGGTGACGATCCCGTCGCTGTCAGCAGTGCCGAGATCTGGGACGAAGTCGAGGACGAAGACATTATTCTTCAGTACTGCCTTGCCGATGTAGAGTCCTCCTCGACCGTGGAAGAGCTTGAACTCCTGTGTGGTGCTGTCTGCTTCAAGATGGATTCCCTTCGCCATTAGTTGGCTGACGCTTAGTAAGTTGTAGCCAAGTCCCTCTGCTATTAAAACTTTTGACATTTGCAGTATAACGTTTGTCTCTCGTGACTGAAGTTGCACTAGGCCTTGTCGTCGTGTGCGCAGGTTCTGATTGTTGGCGACGGTGATGACAACTTCGCGTTGAAGTTGGTGTTCACGTTGAACAAAACGTCCTGAAGAACACATGTGCTGTCCACAGCAGCTGTCCAAGAACCACGTATCTTTTCCGGTCGGCTCGCTTTGAGCGATAGCTGCATACGTCGGATTTGGTTGAAGTGACTCGCGGCGGGGCGTGCTGTTGTCGAGTTGCTCTTCCGGTAAAAAATATGGTGGTGACTCTGTGATGCAGGAGTCTGTCAGTCGTGTCATGCAACTGACGATGTTTCTTGTTCCTTGCGTAGGTTGTCCCGTCGTTGAGGCTTGTACTTGAGAAGTCGAACTCGCTTGAGTTGAGGCAACTTGACTGCTTGAAGGCCGAAGCTGTCGCTGCGTTGGTACTGACTGTTGTCGGTTAGGGCAGTGTGAGCGAGGATGCTCTGACATCTTGCAAAGGTGACAGAACGGAGGTACTGATTTCGGTTGATGCCGATTGTTGTTGTTGTAGCGTCGTTGAGTGTGGAATGCAAATTCGGGCACTGATGCCTTCTTCTTGTGTCGTTCCTCTTGCAGGTCCATATCTTGCTGCTCAGCATGGATTTCGGCGCAGAGTGCTGCTTCCGATATCTTTCCATGCGCTCGGAGTATGGCGCGGGTGGAGCGCCACTGAGGACCGAGGCCGCCGATGATGACTGTGACGAAGGCGTCTTCTGAAATCGACCCTCCGCATCGAAGGAGTTTGTCGCGCAATTCGCGACAACGGCTGATATACGCCATCCCCTTTTCGCCTGGTTTCATTTCGACTGTCGTCAGTTGCGCCATTAACCGACTTTGATTTACGCTGTCTGTTGCTTGATACAGGTTCTTCAGGTGGTTGTACGCGAGCTCTGCGGAGTTACCGTAACCCCGGTAAGACCGTATGTTCTGCTGCTGACTTGGAGTGATATTTCTCAGCAGTATTGTGTACGCCATCATTGACTGATACGTGTACTGCTGCTTATCGTACTGTGTGCCGTGTGTTGGATATGGCAGGGACCCGTCGAAGAAGCCAAGGATCTGTGCGCCTTCCATCATAAGCTCGAACTCGAATGACCAGGTAAAGAAGTCCTTTCCGTCGAAAGGCTTTGTCGTTTGCAGTTTTAAGACGTGCGCGAACTGCGACTCAACTTGAAGTGCATCCAGTGTCTTTTCTTGTCCGGATGCAGGCTGCGGGTGTGGCATAAAGCTGACGGAGCCACGCTGGGGCTCATACGGAGCAAAGGTAGGCCGTTGCTGTTGATTTCCACGTGCGTAGGATGAACCGTCGAGGCTCATCGGTGTTGCGTTGTTGTTGCTGTTGTTTGACTGTGCAGGTGCCCCTTGCTGGTGCTGTTCGTAGAAGGACATGAAGGAGAAGAACTTCTCCATCATGTCTGGATCGAAGGCCGCAGTTTGATTTGCGGGAGTTTCCGAAGACGATGCCCTTGGTCTTGTTGCCATACCCTCCTCTGTCTGTAGGCCAGAGGCAGGAGGTGGAGTAGGAGTAGTGCCAGGAGAGCCGTTAGAGGAGCTTCTCTCCTTCTGCGTTGCCATTTCTTGTGATGTCGTAGATGTCTTGATCGTAGTTGAATTTTTCCTGACTGCTCTCATACCATGTTGGGCTGAAAAGGCCCTTAGGATCTTTGCAGGACAGAATTCAAGAGTAGGATGATGTAGTAGCGGAAGCGTTTAATAAAGACTTGTTGAACCACCTTGTGCTAGTTTGTGAGAACAAAGTAAGTTGATTAAAACAAAAGAGATACAATCTTTTATATGAATACAAAGGAATATGAAAGGTTCTATTTTAACTGTTTTGCTGTTGCGGTTCGATACAGTGCCGACTCGGGTAACTGCTCTGTAACGAGTCAGTTATATGTCCTTGCTGTCGCACTGTACATTTCGTCAGGTCAAAGGTTGCTGACCTTTGACTTTCGCGTAACCTCCAGCAGTTGTTCAACCTCCGAGGGTTGACTCACCGATGTTTCGATACGATCCGCTTCGCTTCTGTCTTGGTGTTTCGACACGACAGAGGCGCTTAAATCAGTTGTTTCCAACAATAGTCACCCGCCTCCCTGACTCCCTTCGCACTGTCAGGGACCACTTTCTCGCACTTGACCCCACAGACCTCACTGTCGACCTGCGCGAAAAGCACCCTCAAACTAATAGTGACCGACCCGACCGCCTCAGGCTAATGTTTAACTGTAACTGCTGTTGCGGTTCGATACAGCGACGACTCGGGTAACTGCTCAATAGCGAGTCAGTTATGTGTCCTTGCTGTCGCGCTGCTTTTCGGCGAGTCGAAGGTCGCTGACCTTTTACCTTCACTTAACCTCTTGCTGCTGTTGTCTTTCTGTCAACCGCTTTGGTTGACTCACTATTACTTCGTTGTAGTTCACTTCGCTTACGTTGTAGTGTTCGATACTTCAGAAGCGCGAACTATATGTTTCCAACAATTCATCATTCCTGCACATATTATTCTGACATGATCCTGGCAATTTCCCTAGAGGTGCCGCGTCCTAACACCACTCTAGTGTGCAGCATTCACATCGATAGGCCTGTGCACTAGACATCGTAGGAAACATCCAGCATGCCGTACACTGCAGCGAAAACCGTAGTGCAATTTTAAAACTAACCCTGATCTCATGCTGTGAACCCTGACGAATCAGAGTGACACGTTGTTGAACCCTGAGCAATCAGGGTAGCGTACTTCCGAAATATGTGCACCCATAATACAGGGGGAATTTTTTTCCCAGATTCAGGGAGGCCAAATATGAAACGTCAGCCCTGATACTGGTACCCCTTACGGTACATTCGAAACAAAAATTTGGACATGCGCAATTATTGCCAACAAATCAGCCCCAACTGAGCGGTTGATGGCTGCGACTTGTGAAGGGCTGACATGTCCCATCATGTGGCACACCAGTCAGTGAATGCCACAAAAATTGAGAAACTTGGGTTCCATTCCACCCACATGAAGTCTACAACCTGTTGTACTTTCTGACCAAACCATCCTCTAGCCACACAGGCTCAGCTGCGCTCACCCAAACGCTCAGCTGCAGGCGCACCAAACTGGCATCTCAACTGCCAACTCTGCTGTGCCTCTCACCCTCCTCTGTGCCACCCATGCCCACTATTGTCCCCACCTCCCCTGAATGGGCCTGCCCCTGCACCACCGCTGTGGGAGCTTCCTTCCACCCCTGCGCGCCGCAGCCCACCCACCGCTCACGCAAACGGGCCTCAACGGCAGGCAGCGGTGGCAACGGCCCCACCACCATCACAGCTGCCCCGTCCTTCTCACCGCCCTCACCCTGCCCCGCACGGGCAGCCTCCCTAGCACCTGCCGACCCTGAACGATCCCCGCAAGCCTCCTCATCCCCGCCTGCGTGGCTCCCGCGCTCATACTCCGCCACATCACCCGACGCCGTCCCCGCGCCGCCATGCCCACTCCACGCAGGGTCACCCTGCAGCCCACACTGCCCTCCCTGCATTGCCTCGCACACCTCATCCGCACCTCCTCTCCCCACTTGCCCTGCTGCTGCACACTCAACTCCACTGCTCACTGCCCCCTCTATACCACCCTCGCCTCCTTCACACCCGTGTGCTGCGTCCCTCTCCCCCACCCCAGAGTGACATGTGGCAGCTGCCCTGTCCTCCCCCACCTGCTGCCTGCGCGTGTGTGCGCTTTCCTCCACATGCCCATCCACCACATACATCACACTCGCAAACCCCTCCAACCCACCGCCTCTCCCCTCACCCCTCTCGACTGCCCTGCGCACACCCAGCTGTCCCCCACATCCCTCCTCCCTGCGTCTTTGCCTGCCTCGCCCCTCCCCACTAGTTTCATCTCCACCTGATTCACTTGCTGCCTGCACCGCCTCTCCTGCACATGCGCTGCCCCACTGCCCTCCACCCCACTGCACCCCATCCACTTGCATGCGCAGCACATCAGTGCTCGCCTGGCAGTTGTCACCACCAGCCATGTGCTCGCGTTCACCCATGCTGCCACGCCCCTCCACCACCCCGTCCACCTCAACTGCTGCAGGCAGTGCCGAGCCCATTGCTTCCTTGCTGCTCTCTTCACTCTCCTTCGTCCCTCCTCCCATGCTCCACACATCCCCACACCCCTGCCCACGCTCGCCCTCGCGCTCATCAGAGAGCGGTGGAGCAGGGATGGGGGCGAGTGTAGCGTGGGGGGGTTGGAGGGAGTCAGGTGTGCAGGTGGAGAGCACGAGGGGCGCTGGGCTGGCAGGGCGTGGGCTTTCGCTGCCACAGAGGGACTCTGAGATGGTGACATCAGCATGCGGGAGAGTGATGTCAGCAGGCTTGTGCGTGACGGAGGCAGCCCGCAGGGGGAAGTGCGGTGAGGGCAGCAGGCTGAAGCCGCACCCCTCCTCGCCCAGCGTGACATCAGCGCGGCGCAAAGTGACGTCAGCGCGGCGGTACGTGACGGCTGCTCGCTTGGCCACCGACGAGGGCGACGGGAATGATGGCCTCAGCGCCACTGGGCTGCTGCCCGCCCGCTGCTGCTGCTGCTGCTGCTGCTGCTGCTGTGGTGAGGGGGAGGACTGAGGAGGAGATGTGGGAGGAGGGAGAGGGGGGCTTGCCTGCTGTGGATGGGGGGCGCTTGACGGCACAGGCAGCAGCATGGGAGGCGGGCTGGTAGGCGTGGCAGGGGGGGCAGGTTGAGCGGCACATGGAGGAGGCAGCAGGGAGGCAGACCCACCTGATTCGCTGCACCCATCGCCACTCACACAAGCTGCTGCAAGCCCTCCTGCACACCCCGCCCCAGCACAACCCTGCCCGCTGCCACAATTCCGCACTGCATCACCCTTGCTGCCATGCTGCCGCCCTCCATCCACCAACCCTGCACTCCCCTCTCCACCCTCCCCAGCACCTCCCCTACTGCCCCTCACCCCACCCTTGCCATCCTCCCCACCCTCTTCACCCTCCCCACCCGCTTCACCCTCCCCACACGCTTCACCCTCCCCACACGCTTTACCCTCCCCACGGCAATGATGCCCGTCCAGGCATTCACCCGGAGGTACACTGTCAGCACGTGGAGAAGCAGCAGCAGCAGGAGAGGCAGCACCTCGAACTGCATCATCATCAGGAGCAGCAGCAACAGCAGCATCACAAGCAGTTGCAGCGGCAGCCGCAGCAGCAGGAGCAGAAGCAGCAGCGGACGCAGCTGCAAGAGGAGCAGCAGGAGGAGGTGATAGGGGCGGTGGGGCACATGCATGGACTGCAGTGACGGCTGGCAGAGTGGCTGGTGGACGAGCGGCACCAACGAGGTGCTGTGGAGGAACAGGGGGCATGGCAGGGGGCATGGCATGGGCCATGGGAGAGGGCATCGCGGTGGGCAGGGCTTGAGCAGCACGGACGAGAGCGAGGCAGTGGCAGGCGCGCTCCAGCGCCGCATCAGCCACCTGCTGCACCGCGCTCGCCCTCGCCCTCGCTGCACCTGCCCTCGCCCTTGCACTCCTCGCCCTCGCCCTCGCCGCCTCCACCTCCGCCTCCGCCTCCACCCCTTGCCCCCTCTCCCCTCGCCCCTGCACCCCTTGCCCCCCCTCCCCTCGCCCCTGCACCCCTTGCCCCTCCTCCTCTCGCCCTTCCACCTCTCGCCCCAGCCCCTCACCGCCTACGGCTGCACATGCTGAGTCCCGTGCTGCAGACGGACGCACGGTAGAAGGGCGAGGGGGACGAGGCCATGGCACGTGGGGAGGCAAGAGGAGCGGCGAGGCAGGGAGGGAAGGAGCGGGGGTGAGGGGCACGGGCAGGAGCAGGCGGGCAGGGGACAGGCCGGCCATGCTGGGCCTGCCAGGGCGCCAGGCAGCAATGCTGCCCGTGTGCCCCCCACTGCCTGCTGCTCGCCACGACCGCTGTCGCTTGCGGTGGTACACCACCGTGCCCTTGCCCGCCCCTCCACCCGCCCCATCCTCCACCTCTCCGCTCATCACAGCAGCACCACCCGTCTCTGCTCCCGCCTCTCTGCCTACCTCCGCGCGCCACTCTTCATCTTCAGCACCCTGCCCAGCACACCCCAGCGCCTGTGCGCTCACTGCACCCTCGGCCACTATGGTGTGTGCCTCGCCCCCCCCAACTGCTGCCAAGGTGCCACCACTGCCACGCACGCCAGGCACCGCTAGTCTGCTCGCCCGAGGCAGCCTGTCACCCACCACCCGCCTCCCCCCCGTGCGGCTGCCTGCGTGAGCGTGTGCGTCGAGACCTGCTGCCTGCACCTCTGTGCCACTCACCGACCTGTCTCCACCCACTTGTGCTGCCTCGCCTGCCAGCCCCTCCACCTGCCCTGCCCACCCCACGTGCCGCTGTGTCTGCTGCAGCACCAACGCTGCCCGCGCCCTACGCCTTCCCCTCCCTCCTGCACCTGCCATCGCCTGCGCTCTACCTCTCACCCCAAACGGCAACGGTCTACCGTCCGTCCTGCACTGCGCCCACTGCCCCACGCCCGCATCCCTTGGCGTTGCTTCCCTGCCCTCCCCTGGCGCCGCCACAGCAGCAGCTGCTGCTGCGTGCGCGATTCCACTGCGTGCGCCACTGTTATTGCCCATGCGCGCGTGCGCCAGCGACAGCAGCTCTGACCGCACGCCCGCCACTCCACTCACCTGCACCGCCTCGCCCTCGCCCCCTCTGCTGCCGCCGCTCCCATGCTCCCACTGCTGCCCTGCCCCTGCCTCCACCAAAGCCGCGTGTGCAGGGGCGCCGCTCTCGGTGCACGCAGCAGTGGGGGCGCCACGCAGCCGTGCAGCCACCAGGGGAGCGCCGGGCAGCTGGTGCGGCGCGGAGGCAGCAGGCAGCGCAAGGGGCCCCGCAGCAGTGCCGTGTGGTGGCGTGGGCGCTGCTGCTTCGTCCCCGCCCGCCCCGCTCACCCCCGCGCTGCCCGTCAGCTGCACGCCCCACGCTGCCCGCCCCCTCGCGTGCCTCGCCTGCTGCTGCCTCAGCAACTGCCTCATCCCCCCCTCGCCCCCCCCGTACACCTGCTGCGCCGCCAGCGGCAGCGCTTGCGGAGTGGCATCCAAGTGTGCGGGCTCCGGGGTGCTAAGACGGGGGCTCAGGCGAAAGGCGAAGGGGAGGGGCGACCACGGCGAGGTGGTGGTGAGGCGAGGCCACGCTTTGGCCGAGGGGCGCGCAGACGAGGGGTGCGCGCGAGATAAGTCCCCATGCGGGGCACTCACCCCCTCGTGGCCTGCGCCAGGGAAAGACTCTGCTGCTCCGCCTGCTGCCCCGCTTGCTGAGCCACCTGCTGAGCCGCCCCTGCTGCTGCCCTCCGCCTCCTCGCCTCCCAGGTCTGCAGTGGGGGGCACAGGCGGGCGAGCAAGCGCATGGCAGGGGGAAGGTGCGGGGAGTTGAGGTGGAGCAGGGAGTGGGGAGACGGCGTGGGGCAGGGCGGAAGGGCGAGGGGGAAGGCTCGGCTCACCTGCGAGGCACACCACGCGGCGCTGCCTTTTGGCCGCCACCAGCCCCTCCACGCCCTCTCGCCGCCCCCCCTGCTGCGCCTCGCCCACGGGGAGCGCCTCTGTGCGGGCCGCCACGCCCCCCCCCACCCTGGGACTGCCTTCCGCACTGTCTGCAGCAGCGCCGCCCCATGCGCCCGCCACGTGCTCCGCGGAGGCCGGCGCGCGCTTGGTGGAGCGCGGGCGCGAGGGGAAGGCGGCCCTGCGCGCGTGGGCGCGCGGCTGCAGGCAGAAGGCAAAGAGTGGCGGGCGGGGGATGGCGGGCACACGCTGCTGCGCTGCACTGCCAGGGCCGGGGGTGATGGGGGTGCCGAAGGGAATGGGTGAGGGGAAGGGAGAGGAGGAGGCGGCCGGGCTTCTGGGAAGGCGCGCAGGAGTGGATAAACCTGCTGCTGCGGCACCGGGTGCTGCCGTGCTGGGTGGGTGCTGTCCGTGCGGATCACGCTGCTCGTGCCTGGATGCTGCACCAGCTGACACCTGCCCCTGCTGCACTGCTACCGCACGCCCCGCTCCTCCCTCCTGCTGCTGCTCCCCTCCCTCCTCTTGCTGCTGCTGTGAGTGGTCGTGTGGTGCCCTCTGCAGCCCAGCACCACTCTCTCCCTGCCTCGCCATGCCACCCATCCCCGCTCCCTCGCCCGCCCTCTGCTCCGCTGCTGCCTCTGCACCTCCTGCCGGCTGCCCCGGGGGCCACGGCGCGGGAGACGGAGCGAGGGGCGTGGCCTCGCGGGCGTGCAGCAGCTGCAGCTGCCGCTGCCACTCGTTCACCTGCGCCTGATACACCTCCCACGGCGCGCGCTGCAGCGGCGGGGCGTCGCATGACACGGGGGAGGGGGAGGGGGGGCGGAAAGGGAGGGAGAGGCACAGGTGCAATGAGAAGGCAAGCTCGTGGGTGCGTGCAAGAGAAAAAAACAAAAAGCGCGGGACAAGTGCGTGCAAGAGAAACGAGCGTGCATGAGGCAACGCGCGGGCAGACATGAGGGGCGCGGACTGCGTGCTGCAGGGCGGCGGGCTGTGGGCGGCGGGACGCGGGCGCTGACCTGGAAGTGGCGGCAGAGCGCAGTGCCCTTGCGGGTGCGCTTGGCGAGCCAGTGGTGGAAGATGGCGCGCACGGCGTCTGGCGGCGCCAGGTGCGCGCAGCAGCACAGGGCGTGCGCCTCGGAGAGCAGCGAGCGCGCAGCAAAGGCCTCCTTCTCAAGCCGGTCCATCACCCTCTCCACCTGCCCCTCGCTCACCGCCACCATACTCCCTGCCACTTCGCCATCACTCCCTCTGCCATCACACGCGACACTCTCACCCCTTTCACCCGCCGTCTCTGCCCCTGCCTGCCCCTTCCCCTCTGCCTGCCCCTCAACCCCTGCCTGCCCCTCCCCCCTTGCCTGCCCCTCCCCCCCTGCGCGGCGGAGGGTGCGCGGGAGCGCGGAGAGGAAGCGCTCGTCGTCGGAGTCGAGGTCGTACACCACGTGGCGACTGCCGGGCCGCACGCGCTCCGCCTCGTCCACGCCACGGATGTACCCCGCCGGGGGGGCGAACGCCTCGCGCCCCTCACCCGCCTCCGCACCTTCCACCGGCCCCGCTACGCTGTCGCTGCTGGCGCTGCTGCTGGCCGCGCATGCGGAGGAGCCGCGCAGGCGCCAGCGCCAGGGCACGAGGTGCACGCCGGGGATGGGGATGCGGCGCGCCGACACGGCGCGGCTGTTGCGCTGGGCGCATGAGTCGTGCAGCTGCTGGAACCTTCGCCACTCCTTCCTCTCCGCAAACTCCAGCGCCCACGAGGCGGCGCTGCTGCCCGCGTCGGCGTCAGGAGGGCGCCACATGATGGCGCCCGTCACCCGGTTGCTGCTGCCCGTCGCCCCCGCCTGCTCCGGGCGGTACGAGAAGCGCGCGTGGCCGCGCAGGAGCACGGCGAGCACGTGCGCTCTCGCCCCGCCCTCCTCGTCGCCCACCACCCGCGCCTCCACGGCCGCCCCGCCCTCGCGCCACCCGCGGTCGCCCTGCACCACCAGCACGCTCGCCGCGCACACGCCACACGGACTGCCCGACCGGTCCGACGCACACGTGGCAGCGTCGCACTCGTCACCCAGCCACAGCCCTGGCGACTCGTCCACAAGGTGGCGGCGCTTCTTGCCCGCGGACGGGCGGCCCGCCTTGTCTGGCGCGGGGGCACCGTTCGCTCCAACGACCAGTGACGACCGCCACCCTCGCTTGCCCTTGCCCTTGCCCTTCCCTCGCCCCTTCCCTCTGCCCAACCCTTGACCTTGCCGCCGCTGCTGCTGCTGCTGCTGCTGCTCCTCCTCCTCCTCATCATCCTTCTCCTGCTGCTGCTGCTGCTGCTGCTGCTGCCCCTGCCCCTGCACGTGACCCTGCCCCTGCCCCTGCTCCTGCTGTTGTTGATGTTGTTGTTGCTGCTGCTCCTGCCTCTGCTTCTGTTCCTGTTGCTGCTTCTGCTCCTGTTGCTGCTGCTGTTCCTGGTGCTGACCCTGCCCCTGTTGCTGCTGCTGATCCTGCCCCTGCTCCTGCTGTTGCTGAGGCTGTTGTTGCTGCTGCTGCTGCTGTTGCTGCTCCTGCCTTTGCTCCTGCTCCGTTTGCTGCTGCTGCTGCTGCTTTTCCTGTTGCTGCTGCTGCGGATCCTGCTGCTGCTGCTGCGGATCCTGCTGCTGCTGCTGCTGCTGCTGCTGCTGCTGCTGCTGCTGCTGCTGCTGCTGCTGCGGGCGATGTGCCACCTGCTGCTCGTGTACCTGCTGCGGCTGATGGGGCTGATGCAGCCATTTCAGCTGCTGCTGCTGAAGCGCCTGAAGCAGCTGTCGATCAGTGGGGAGCCAATGCGGTGGTGCAGAGGGCAGAACCGCTGCGTGCGCTCCGCCGTGCGATGTGGGCTCGCACCTGCCGACCGCGCCGCTCTGCACGCGGAGCTGCGATGGCGCGGACACGACGGCAGACGGACGAGGAAGCGCCGCTGATCGGGGCATCAGTGGTTGCTCGCTCTGAGCGGCGGGCAGCGATTGAAGCGCTTGCTGCTGCCGCAGCATGGGGGATGGCGGGAGTAGCATAGGGGAGGGCGGCTGACTGCCGGAGAGGAGAAAAGGAGCGCTTTTCACATCCAGCAACGGCCCCTCCGCTGCCAACCCTGCCCCCTGCCTCGCGGCCGAAGAAATCGCATTGGCCACGAGGGAGGGCTTCAGCCCCGAGGGAACGCAGGGATCTAATCGACTGCTGTCATCCGTCCCTGTGACGCCTGCCTGGATCGACTGAGTCGCGTGAATTGATTGAGTTGCGTGATTCGCCTGAGTCGCGTAAAAAGACTGAGACGCGTCAGTCATTTGTTTCGTCTGCGTAATCTGAGTCGCGTGAATCGTCTGAGACGCGTCAGTCATTTGTTTCGTCTGCGTAATCTGAGTCGCGTGAGTCGCTGAACGCGGGTGACACGGCCAAGCGGGGTTGACAGCCAAGCGACCGTTGGCCAGCCCTGACGCCAAAAGGTGATGCGATAGCAGCGCCAGCTGCTGCCGACGCGCTAGATCCGCTCCCGATACTAACTGCTGCGACACGAGCGGTGAGGCCGCAGGGGTTAGCCGGGCCACTACAGGGTCGGATCGTAAAGCGGATGCTTGCTGAGGGGCGTGTGGTTGGGAGGGAGACATTTGCGGTTCGGCTCGTAAATGCCGGTTCTGATCTGACAGCCCCGACGAGCCTTGCTGCGAGACAGGCGGCTGCGACTGCTGGCGTGGAGGGTGAAGATGAGCCTTCCGCCGCTGACGCTCGTGCGACGGCGACGGCAACGCTCGATCGACCTCTACTCTCGGCTGCACCGCCCCGAACCGGCTTATACCTTCGGAATGACCTCGCTCTCCGTGATCCTGTTCCACAAGCGGAAGCGCTCCATTTTCCTGAGCTGGGCGAAACGGAAACATAACAAGCAGAACGGCAGCAGCCCTCCCGTCCACGCTCAGCATTTCAGCAGCATTGAGGTGGAGAACGGATGCCTGCGCGCGTCAGGTGGATAAACGAGGTGCTTGCACTTCGAGCCATGAATGAAAGATGGCAACCTGTAGTTGTCCCTACAAGGCTCCTCCCAAAATTCAAATCAACATTGGCGGATCTCGATTTTCTGAGGCAGGAAGTTTGAAACCCTCATTCCGCTTCCACCTCCATCCTTCCGCCTTCATCCTTCCGGTCTTCCCCGTCGTCCTCTTCCAACTTTCCGCCTCCCGCCCTCAAGTTTCCGTCTTCTCCTTTCGCCTCTTTCCCCTCCTGCCTTCCAATGTCCGTGAATGCCCGAAAACCCTCTTTGTTGGTGCTTGGTTGCCCTCTGGCGGTACGCATGAATCGCGGAGTCCAACTTGGCATGTCTGGCAGATTCGCTTCTGACCTAAGGCTACAGTTCCGAACCGAATACAACCATCAGGTCAATTCTTTAAGCTTGCTATATTGTGTTAGGAAATAGGTGTTATAAGTTGTAAAACTATATGCATGGAAATCAATATCTAAGATATGATACAGTTACGACTGCCGATGTAGATGAGACAGACTTCACCTGATGGCGGGGTTAGACATAGAGCGCACTGGGGATGTCACCGGCAAGCAGCTGTCCGGCAAGGTTAAGACGAGAAAGTGCCGAACACAAATCACGGAGGTCAACACACCAGGAGGGGTGGTGTCGGACTCCAGGCAAATTCTCACCGCCGCCTCAGATTTTTTCAGGAACATCTTTGGCAATGACAGGGGGGTTGACTTCAGTGAATGGTCCCCGATGCGGAGCAGGACACTGGGATCAAACATGGCGGAGGGGCTGGAAGCGGACTGGTCAGAAGATGAAGTGAAGGCAGCTTTCTCATCGCTGGTGAAAAACAAGTCACCCGAAAACGACGGACCGTCGAAGGAATTATTTGAGAATAACTGGGACCTCCTTGGGGAGAGCTTTATGGCCTTGGTCAGGGACTTCGCGACGTCGGCGATGCTCTCGGGGGAAGTGAAGGAGGCGGTGACGATTCTCCTGCACAAAAAAAGGCGAAAAGTATCAGCTCGGAAACTACCGCCCGATAACGCTGCTCAGTTTCACCTACAAAATCTTGGCTTAAGTGGTGGCAAAGAGAATGAAGAAGGTTCTGCACCATGTTATCTCACCGGAGCAGTACGGGTTCATTCCGGGGAGGAAGCTCACTGACGCAGTGGCTCTGGTTGCAGACATTATCGACGCCTCAAAGAATGGAAGCCAAGATTGGTTCCTGCTGCTCGTCGATTTCCAAAAAGCATTCGATTCCGTCTCGAGAAGCTTCATATTCCAGGTGCTTCACAGTACGGGTTTCCCGCCCCGCTTTGTAGCCTGGATTGAGGGCCTGCACACAAACACCACCACAAAGATGCTGATCAACGGCTGGCTGGGAGATGGCATCGACGTGGTGTCGGGTGTAAGGCAAGGCTGTCCACTGGCGCCTTACCTGTTCCTGTGCGCCGTGGAGCCGCTGGTGCAGAAGGTGGAGCAAAAGAAACTGGGACTGGAAATAGACGGGGAGTGGCTGTCATACCTTGGCTATGCAGACGACACCACTCTCGCCTTGTAAGGAAAAGCGCTGACCTAGCATGCAGTGAACATCTTGGGGGATTTTGAGCGGAAATCGGGGCTAGCAACCAACAGAGAGAAGACAGTAGTCTTGCCGCTGGGGGTGAACCGCGGATACACATCACCGCTGATTAGTCCTTTCAAATGGGCGAAGCCGCATAACGTGGAGCGGCTGCTGGGAGTCTGGGTCACACCTGATGTGAACGGGCAACCAACTTGGGAGAAGGCGTTGGAGATCATCACAAAGAAGCTGGTGAAATGGCGGCAATCATACTTAACGGAGAAGGCGAGGTCGGCGGTAGCAAATGATTACATCCAGCCGATCATGCACTTCCAGGCACAGGTCTACCCGCCTCCTGCGAAGGTTTGGGGAGAGCTGGAGAGGTTAATCCACAATTTCGTCTCTGGTAACATAGCGGCGCCGATAGAAGGGTTCCGGATTTGGAGCAAAGATCTCCTATACACCCCCAGGAGCGGAGGTGGGCTAGGTGTCAGGGACCTGAGCATCGCTCTTGCGTGCCTCTCGGCAAGGCGGGTTGGTCTGTTGCTGACGGAGGCTAACCGACTCAAGCGGCAGCTGATGATTAAAGTAGCAGTCCTCCCCTTGGGCCTAGACACCTTCACTTCCCATGACCGGCTCCTGAGACACTGGAAGGGGCGGAGTCAACAATGGAGGCAGACCTGTGAGGCCTTCATGAAGTCGCCCCTCAGCGTCAGAACGGTGGAAATTACAAGGGAAGTGATTGCGGAGGAGCGACTGGTGTTTAACAAGGCAATACTGGTCAGCGCGGCCACGCCTGTGGGAGGGCAGAAGCACGCGAAACCTCTATGGAAAATACGGTTGGGGGATCTGGTGAAGCAGCAGCAAGAGGGGGTGATGGTACTGAAATGTATGGCGGAACTGGCGGAGAGACTGGGAGGAAAGGGCCCGGCGAGGCTCGCACTGAAAGGCTTCGCTGCTGCCCCTGAGGAGTGGAGGGAGTGTCTGCTGGCCCCTGCACCAAGCTCGGCTGACTCACGCTCAGGGGGGCAGAAAAAACCTCCTGCAACTGCCAATTCTGGAAGACGGGAAGGTCGTTCCGCTCAAAGTGATGAAGAGCCATAGGAAAGGGGAGCACATGCAGTCCCACCGAATGCTGAGATGGGCTGGCAAATGGAGGGGGTCAATCAATTGGAAGAAGATCATGAGCATAAAAGAATATCTGGCTACACCCAGCCGACCCAGAGATGTCCTCACGAGGGTTTACAACTTTAACCTGCAAGTGGGGGAGAGGCTGGCTTTCCTAAGCGACAAGCCGACGTGTCCACACTGCGGCGAGGAGGAGACACTCGAACATTGCCTCTTTGACTGCCCAAAAATCCAGAGGGTACTGCTGGCGCTGAAAAGAGCCCTCCGTCTAATCAACCCGTCCCAGGAAGCTAACTCTCTGGGGGACCTGCTCTTCCGTAAGGCTGGTTCGAGCACCGCCTTCCCGGAAGCGACACTGATTGCAATCACACTGCATCAAGTCTGGCTGGAACGTTGCGAAGCTATCTTATGAGGGCGCAATTTTCGTGCGCGCCGAGTGCTGAGAAGGATAATTGTCGCCTTCCGGCAGCATGCGAGGGTGTACGTGAAGGCTCGTATGACTACGTGGCAAAAGAAAAAGAAATCGGCGCAGAGCGGTGGGTTCCAAAAGAGCTTGCTGGAGGAACAAAAACAGTTGAGTCGGATCCGTGTGGCTGATGATAAGAGTTGGAAATGGACCAGATCCTTTGAGTCCATCTGGTCCAATCCGAGTGTTAGAAGAATGAACGAGAATGAATGAACTAAGAAAGAGTTGGGTACAAGTACTAACCCTAATTGGGTTGTACCCCTTATGGGCTACCCTACTATAGCCTACACAAATGTAAGCACTATATAAGTTTGACACACCCCCATAGGCAAAGTGGGGGAGAACAAGTGGTCACAAGACCAGTCAAGAAAAGCAAAGCAAGCTCAGGGTGGATCACAAAGTCACCACACAGTCCGAGCACAAACAAAGGGCCACAAGGCCAGTTCACATGCAGAGTTATATAAAAGAGAACAAACAATTCAGTGATCATACCCTAGCAAGTGTACGCATGCAGGTATATATATAGATCACAGTACAAGCAAAGTCAAGCAGTGAGCAAGTGAAGCAAAGTAGGCACAAGGCCTAAAACAGTAGAGAAGCGCTGATGATCACCAGGCGGGAGTGCCTTGGTGAATATATCAGCAGTGTTGGCCCTAGTGGCCACGTACGCAAGACGAAGCTGGCCACGCTGCTGCAACTCTCGAGCAAGGAAGTATCGCAGAGCGATGTGCTTTGTTCTGTGCTCCAGTCTGTGCTCCTGACACAAGGCAATCATGGCCTTGGTGTCTACGTACAGAACTGGAGGTGAACGAGGCTGCTCTCCCAAGTCAGTCAGCAGGTAGGTGAGCCAGCGTAGCTCTTGTGCAGCCATGGCCCCTGCGTAGATCTCAGCCTCACAACTGGAGCTGAGAACCGAAGACGAGCGGGTAGACCGCCAGGAAATAGAGCTGGAACCGAGGCTGAAGGTGTAAACCTGTGACGACCGCTGCGTAGCTGAGTCATCAACCCAAGAAGCGTCTGCATGACCAGTGAGGACAACTGGACCCCGTCCCCCAAGCACGAGCCCCATGCCCGACGTACTGCACAAGTAACGCAGTACCCTCTTCACAGCATCCCAGTGCACCTTTCGGTGCCTACTGGGAGCCACGTAGCGAGCCAGGAGGCT